GGGAGAGAGGTGGGTAGGTAGAGAAGGAGTGGATAAGAAGGAGGTGGGGTGGGGGTTGTGTAGAGGTGGGGGAGGGAGGGGTAACGGGGGAGGGCTTTATAGACAGGTAGTTTGGGAAGGTTAGGTTGAGAGGAGGAGGAGGGGGGGTAGAGTTGAGGAATGACGACGGGAAGGAGGAGGGAGAGAAGAATGGAGGTAATGAAGGGAGGGAGAGGAAGTGAAGGGAGAGAGATGGTGAGAAGATGGAGGTTAGGTCAGGTCAGGTCAGGTCATACATAATACCAATATGACTAAATTATTTACAGATGACGGTATGTACGAGTTTTATACAGATACAGTAGTGGATTAGCTCGGCATTCAATACAAATTCAGTACCAGTCTGTTTGGCGGGTATTAGGCTGAACTAAACGTGTCCTGTACACGTGTGTGTCCCCTGGGGAAGACGTACTCATCAGGGAAGTGAGTGAGTGAGTTATCTCTATACTGTATCTGAGGTAAATATTGTGTTCCAGTGTAAAGATATGTAGTTTATTATTGCATTATGGATATTTTTTATTTTATTTATTTCTTAGTTATTTATTTATTTTATTTTATTTATGTATTTGTTTTATTTTTTATTTATTTATTTTTTATTTTTTATTTTATTATTATTTTTTAATTATTTATTTAGTGTTTGTTTGTTATTATTGATGAGTGTCCGTGGGAATTTTGAGGGTTCCTGAAGGGGTTAACAGACATTGACAACCACGGCTTCAACCTAACCTAAACCTAACCTAACCTAACCTAACCTAACCTAACCTAACCTAACCTAACCTAACCTAACCTAAACCTAACATACTCTTAACAATCTGTAGTTTCAGTGTGGGAAATTTGGGGGTCCTCTTCCTCCTCTTCCTCACTTCTCTTCCTCACTTCTCTTCCTCCTCCTCTTCCTCCTCTTCCACTTCCTTCTCCTCTTCCTCCTCTTCCACTTCCTTCTCCTCTTCCTCACTTCTCTTCCTCCTCCTCTTCCTCACTTCTCTTCCTCCTCCTCTTCCTCACTTCTCTTCTTCACTTCTCTTCCTCCTCCTCTTCCTCACTTCTCTTCCTCCTCCTCTTCCTCACTTCTCTTCCTCCTCTTCCCTCTTCCCTTCTCTCCTCTCTCTTCCTCCTCCCTCCTCCTCTTCCACTTCTTCTCACTTCTTCCTCCTCTTCCTCACTTCTCTCCTCCTCCTCCTCTCTCTCACTCTTCCTCCTCCTCTTCCCTCACTCTTCCTCCTCCTCTTTCCTCACTTCTCTTCCTCCTCCTCTTCCTCACTTCTCTTCCTCCTCCTCTTCCTCACTTCTCTTCCTCCTCCTCTTCCTCACTTCTCTTCCTCTTCCTCACTTTCTCTTGGTCTTTCTTTGTGGTCTTTAGGTCAGTCTTATCCCCAGAGACCTGATGCCGGCTCAAGGAAACTTATCAATAATCAAGGACGGGTTTGATCAGGGTATCAAGGACGGATTTGATCAGGGTATCAAGGACGGGTTTGATCAGGGTATCAAGGACGGATTTGAGGACGGGACGGGTTCAGGGTGATCACGGGTATTATCAGGACGGGTTTGATCAGGGTATCAAGGACGGGTTTGATCAGGGTATCAAGGACGGATTTGATCAGGGTATCAGGGACGGGTGTGATCAGGGTATCAAGGACGGGTTTGATCAGGGTATCAGGGACAGGTTTGATCAGGGTATCAGGGACGGGTGTGATCAGGGTATCAAGGACGGGTGTGATCAGGGTATCAAGGACGGGTTTGATCAGGGTATCAGGGACGGGTTTGATCAGGGTTCATTTTTGTGATCAATTATCTCTAAGGCTAGCGTCGTTATGTTAATGGTCTTGATGAACTTGTGTGTGTGTGTAGTGGAACCAGCTCATCGGGCACACAGTCAGCAGAGGTCAAAGGTCGTTCTGATGGGTACGTGGGATCTGTTTACAACCGGAAAGGAAGGTTGGGCCGTAATCCTATGTTATTTGACCGGGAATTGATTCTTTGACTATCTTGAGGTGGTCAACGATGCTATAGTTCACGCCTGTCGGGTGGGGTTAGGTTAGGTTACGTTGGGGGAGGTTAGGTTAGGTTGAGGTTAATGAAACAGGTGAGGTAGTAAGGAGTAACCCTGTGGTACCCCTCGCGTCATGGCTCGGTAACCCCCCTCCCCTATCCTCCCCACAACCTTCATACCCCCGACCGAACGGAATGAGAGTCGGACTCGAATGGTTTGTGGGTCCGTATGGGGGGAGGGGTTGGGGTAGGAGGGGGTGTGGTGGGGGGTAGGGTGTATCTTACATAACTTCTTAAGGTCCCCTGATTCTCTTAAAAGGTTTACATGTAATATAATTTTTATCCTCCAGTTGATTGGAGTATGTGGGAACGCTCTCTCTCTCTCTCTCTCTCTCTCTCTCTCTCTCTCTCTCTCTCTCTCTCTCTCTCTCTCCTGTAATGACGGTACGGAATGGGTGGATACAACAGATGGTACAGGAGGAACTTATGTATTCAGGTGGTGGGACAGGGAACACCAGCTGGGACGGGCGTGGGATTGACGGGGACCTGTGGGACGGGTGGTTAGTGAGCGGGACAGGTGTAGGACAGGCCAGGGTGACGTACCAGGTTAGGTCTCCGAGACAGAGAGATTGCCGAGTGCTGTCTCTCTCTCTCTCTCTCACACACACACACACACACACACACACACACAGGCATGAGAAGAATGTTAAACTGTCCTTACTGGTACACACACACACACACACACTCTCTAAATAAACAAAAAACTGCAACAAACTGGTAAACACAGACGCTAAACTGGTGTTACCGGTGTTTAAACTGGTGTTACCGGTACGTGGGAGTATTACAGACTGGGGGGGGGTTAACACTTTATACCGCGACAAACACAGTGTAGGGATCGTACCGGGACACATGGGCCGTTATAAGGGAGGGAAGGAAGGAAGGAAGAGGGAGGGAAGGAAGGAAGGACAATGGGAGAGAAAGGAGGTTAGTTCAAGTTGGTTAGGGGGAGAGGATGGGTTAGATGAGGGAGGGAAGGAGGGTAGATATGACGCCAGGTGGGTTCCGACACGCTTCCCTCCTCACCCTCACTGTAACACTGTTTACGTTAACGTCCTTGATACTAAGACTTACACCACCACCACCACCTCCACCACCACACCACCACCCCACACCCCCACCCCACCACCCCACCACCACCACCACCCACCACACCACCACCCACCCCACCACACCACCACCGCCACCACCACCACCACCACCTACCACCACCACTACCACCACAACACCACTCCACCACCACTTCACCACCACTCCACACCACCACCCCACCACCACCACCACCACCCCCACCACCACCACCTCCACCACCACCACCACCACCCCACTCCACCACCACTCACCACCACCACCACCACCACCACCACCACCCACCACCACCACCACCACCACCCACACACCACCAACCACCACCACCTCCACCACCACCACCACCACCACCACCACCACCTCACCACACACCATCCATCCACCCCACCACCACCACCACCACCACCCAGCACCAGGAGTCGTGGAGGAGGTGTGGAGGTGTGGGGGAGGGGAGTGTGGAGGGGGTGGAAGTGGGGTGGGGTGGAGGGGGTGGGATGGAGGAAGTGTGAGGTGGAGGGATGGAGGAAGGGATGGGGGTGGGGAGTGTGGAGGGGAGGGGGTGGAGGGAGTGGGTGTGTAGGTGGGGAGGGAGGGAGTGTGGGTGTGGAGGGTGTGGAGGGAGTGTGGAGATGGAGGAATGGGGTGTGAGTGGAGGGAGGGGGGGGAGGGGATGGAGGAGGGAGTGTGGGTGTGGAGGGAGTGTGGGGTGGAGGGGAGGGAGGGGGGGGTGAGGTGGGGAGGTGGGGGGGGGTGGGAGAGGAGGGAGGGGGTGGAGTGGGGAGGAAGTGGGGTGGAGGGTGGAGGGGGTGGAGGGAGTGGAGGAGGGGAGGGGTGGAGGGAGGTGGGGGGAGGTGTGGGAGGGAGGGAGGTGGAGGGAGGGGTGTGGAGGGTGGAGGTGGGAGGGGGGAGGAGGAGGTGTGGAGGGAGGGGGTGGGGTGGGTGGGTGGGAGGGAGGTGGAGGGAGTGTGGAGGTGGAGGTGGAGGGAGTGTGGAGGTGGAGGGAGTGTGGGTGTGGAGGTGGAGGGAGTGTGGGTGTGGAGGGAGTGTGGGTCTGTTTGTCAGCTGTAAATGGTTAAGGTGAACAGAAGAGAATAACCAAAAAATAAAGATAATAAAATAAATAAATTAATAACTATCATAATGGTAGTTAGAGAGACGACCTGAGGTGATTGGTGTGTGTGTGTGGTGTTTACACTTGTCCTGTTCAATAGTTGTTGGGTTAAAGGCCGTGTTTACAGTGTGAGAGTTAAGGGTGAGAATCAACGGAAGAACGGTAAGTGAATGGAGGAGGATCGTGAGTGAGGGAACAACATGTGAGGGGGGGGTGCGGAGCTGACTGCTGGAGCCCTCTTCTCCTTTTCCCAGCAGGTCCACTACTCGGTAACACACGGCACTGCTCCTGCTGACCAGTGGTAATAAGCAGGTGGTAGTGGAGGAGATGGTGTGGAGTAGCGGCGGTGAGGGTAGCAGTGGGCCTACAAGATGGTGGGCCGGGTGGTCGTGTAGCCCAACTACTGACCCCCCGCGCTCTCCTTCTCCTCTTGTGTGGGAGTGTCACCTGCCCGTGCTCACTGTGCTGTATGGAGAGTGTACGTGACGGTGTACGGTGGTCGACATTTTATCCAGTAAACGGTATAGATGCAACAGTGGACCAGACATTCCTAAATTCCTGAGGAGGGTGGCAGTGGTGGCTGCGAGGTGGCCGGGCAGCTCTGGCCGGGCGGCCTGGGCGGCTGTGATTGGCCAGGGCGCGTCTGCCCCGCCCCCAGCCTGCTGGCCGTGGCTCGGGTCCGCGCCGCCCCCAGTTGTTCTTATGAGGTGGTGAAGTGAGGGAGCCCGCGCACCCCTGCCCCAGGATCAGTCAGTGTTGAAGTGTGAGTGATGATGTGGTGTGGTGGTGGTTGTAGGTGGGGTGCTGCGTGACCATGCGCGGTGTCACACCACCGCGGGAGTGTGCAGGGGGTGACTTGCAGGGCGGCCACGGGCACTGCTCGGCCAGCCCGCTCTGCCGACGACCGTGACCATGCACGCCGCCATCATGCTCAGACTAGTGTTAGTGTTAGTGTTGCAGTGCCTGTTGACTAATGGGCAAGGGCCAGGGCCGGGGCCGGGGCCTGGGCCACAGGGGGGAGTGCTGGATGAGGAGCTGGACAAGATGCAATCACGCGCCGTGGATACGCGCGTCAAGTTCACTGTGATGGAGGGCCACCCGGCCAACACCTTCGTGGGTATCATCCCCCTCAAGCCGGGCTTCACCTACCGCTTTAATGAGTCCCCTAAAGAGTTCACCCTCAATGGTACCACTGGAGAGATACGCACCACGGACGTGCTGGACCGTGAGGCCCTCGACACGGACCGCTTCGACCTGGTGGTCCTGTCGTCACAGCCAACCTACCCCATCGAGGTGCGCATCAACGTTATCGACATCAACGACAACTCACCAAGGTTCCCGGAGGCCTCCATCCACGTCACCTTCTCTGAGAGTGCCAACGCCGGCACCAGGGTCATCCTTGACACGGCAACTGACGGCGACGCCGGCGACAACGATATCACCACCGACTACAAGATCGTCGATGGCAACGAAGATGGTAAATTCAAGCTTCAGGTGACGATAAACCCTTCAGGAGAGACGCCGTACCTTCACCTGGAGACGACGGACAGGCTGGACCGGGAGACTCGGACTGTTTATCAGCTCAACATTTCTGCACAGGACGGTGGGTCTCCGCCGAGGTTCGGGTTCTTGCTAGTCAACGTGTCCATCTTGGACGTGAACGACAACCCGCCCATCTTCGACCACAGTGACTATAACGTTTCCCTGAACGAGTCTGTACCTCCTGGCACGTCTGTGCTACAGGTACAGGCGACGGACAACGACGTAGGGGAGAACGCCCGACTCACCTATTACCTGTCGGAGACGGAGACGCAGTTCACGGTGGATCCCGAGACGGGCATCATCAGCACTGTGGAGCCTCTCAGCTGCCACCAGAACTGTCAACAACTACAGCCGTGTCCCAAGAGTTGCGTGTTTACTGTGTTCGCCAGGGACCACGGGTCGCCGCTCCAAGATGGCCGGACTTACGTCACCGTCAACCTACTGGATGCCAACGACCACGACCCGGTCGTCAGCTTTAGGTACTTCCCCACCACAGCTGACTTCGCAACCGTCGACGAAAATGCGCAGAACGGGTCTGTGGTCGCTGCCGTCTCCGTCATAGACGCTGACGAAGGTCCAAACGGGGAAACAACAGTAGAAATACGAGCTGGCAACGAGCTCAGCCATTTTAGACTCGATTCCAAATCTGGTTTCGACATTGTACGAGTGAACGGTGTGTTAGATCGTGAGAAAATTGGTAAATACAACGTTACCATCGTAGCCACAGATAAGGGGACTCCTCCGAGGTCGTCAACAGCCTTTCTTATTATCCACGTTAACGACATCAACGACCACGAGCCAGTGTTTGAGAAGAGCGAGTACTCGGCTGTGTTGAGTGAGCTTGTTCCTATCGGCACCTACGTGGCTGGCATCACCGCCAATGATGAGGACACAGGTGTTAACTCCAACATATACTACGCCATCGTCTCTGGCAACGACAACCAGTGGTTCGACATCGACCTACAGAGTGGCCTCATCACCACCAAGGCGCCCCTCGACCGAGAGGTGAAGGACTCGATCGACCTGAAGATCTCTGCTCGTGATGGTGGACCAAACCCCAAGTGGGCGTACACTCACCTTAAAATATCCATATTGGATGAAAACGACGAGAAGCCGACATTTTCTCAGGAGATGGTGAACGTGAGTCTGTCGGAGAACACCCCGCCTGACACCCTGGTGACGCTGGTGTTGGCCGTCGACCACGACCAAGGCACCAACGGCAGCGTCTCCTACATGTTTGACCAAGACGTGGAACACAATTATCCGGGAATATTCGCTCTCGACGTCTCCTCTGGTCGACTCACCACCAAGACCAAGTTAGACCGGGAGGCGATGCCCCAGTACGAGATCAAAATAGTGGCCAAGGATCAGGGAATACCTCCCCTGTCGTCGACGGCGACAGTCGTGCTGAATGTACAAGACGTCAACGACAACAGTCCAGAGTTTTACCCACAACAGTATTTCGTGGTGGTGCCCGAGGACCTGCCCCTGGGGTCCTCCGTCCTACAGGTCTCAGCCACAGACAAGGACATCGGGGAGAACGCTGTCACCACCTACGAGCTCAACGTGGGGGAGGACAACGAAAACACCTTCGAGTTAGATCGAGACACCGGTATATTGAGCTTGAGTGGTCGGCTGAGTCACATCAGAAAAGCTCAGTACCGCCTCACGGTAGCTGCGAGAGACACTGGTGACCGCAAGGCTGTGGAGGACGCCACTGTTGACATCGTGGTGGAGAGCAATCAGATAGAATTGCTGGAGTTTGAACAGAACGAAGGATACAAGTTTTCGCTTTCTGAAGATGTTGGCAAGAAGGAACCTGCAGCAGGGCGGAAGATGGGCAGGGTGAGCGTGCTGAACCCAGCCTCTGTAGGCGAGGTCAGTTACGCCATCATCGCTGGCGACCCTGACAAGGTGTTCTCGATTGATGAGAGGACAGGTGTCATCAGCACAGCCAGGAGGATTGACCGAGAACAGGCAGCGTACTACAGCCTCCGGACGGTGGCGACCACGACCTCAGCTTATGGACGGACTTGGGTCAACGTGACAGTGGAGGACGTGAACGATAACCCTCCCAAGTTTCCCATCACCAGAGCCCACGCCACGGTGGCCGAGAACTGGCCCGTGGGTCACCAGGTCTACCTAGCCCGAGCCTACGACAGCGACTACGGGGAGAACAGCAAGATAACGTACAACCTCTCCAATAACCCGGATGATTACTTCACCATCTCGAGGACCAGCGGCATGATCTACCTCAACAAACCCGTCAAGTACAGCAAGACGAGCAACTTCCGGCTGGAGGTGGCGGCCTCTGATGCTGGGTTACCGTCCCTTACATCTCGCCAGATCGTTACCGTCACAGTCGAGGACGTCAACGACCACACGCCCATCTTCGAGCACGGGTCGTACGAGACTTCTCTGCTGGAGTCAACGCCAGTGAATGACAGGTTCTTCGCCCTCACCGCCTCTGACGAAGACGACGGTATGAACGGGTTTGTCTCCTACGACATAACTGAGGGTAATGAAGAACGCAAGTTTGGCATCTTCCCCGACGGTTACCTGTACGTCAAGAGCGCCCTGGATCGTGAAGCTCAGGATTATTTCGCCCTGACCATCGTGGCCAGGGACCATGGCACGCCGCCCCGCTCCTCAACTGTCTCTGTCGTCATTCATGTCATTGACGAGAATGACAACTCTCCAGTCTTCACAAACTCGACTTTCACGTTTTACCTGGACGAGAACGAGCCTCCCGACACCTATGTGGGGAAACTGACGGCAGCAGACAAGGACAAGGGCAGAAATGCGGAGCTCACTTATTCCATTGCTACAAATCAAAACGATTTTGTAGTTGACCCCAAGAGCGGCTTCCTCAAGACCTTACATTACTTCGACAGAGAGCAGCTCGTCCAAACAACTGGTCTGGACTACATCTCCATGGAGGCTGTAGTCCTGGACAACGGCATCACGCGTCTGAGAGATAAAACTAAAGTCAATATCTACATCACAGACGTCAATGACAACCCACCCAAGTTCCTGAGGAAACCTTACCGAGCACAGGTACCTGAAAAGGCTCCTCTCAGCACGCAGGTGATTCGGATATCAGCCACGGACGCAGACGAGGGCCTGAACGGGGATGTTGTGTACACCATAGTTGACGGGAATGATGAAGGTCGCTTCAAGGTGGACGAAACGACGGGTCAGGTGACACTCGCCAAGCCCCTGGACCGAGAGTCAACCCCTCGTTACCTCCTGACGGTTGCAGCAGCTGATCTGGGCAGTCACCCTGGCCTTACTGCCACCGCCACGCTCACTGTGGACGTCCTGGATGAGAACGACAACGCCCCAGAGTTCACCCAAAGTGAGTCCGAGATTTCCATCGTGGAGACAACACCAGTCAACACCGTGCTGGTGCAGTTCCAGGCGTCAGACGCTGACTTGGGCGTGAATAAAGACGTGGCCTTCATGATAGGAGGAGGGAACATGCAAGAAGCCTTCCGCATTGACACCAAAACTGGAACTCTGTACCTGGAGAGATTACTGGACTTTGAGAAGCAGAGTTTGTATCGTCTGAACATAACAGCAGCTGACGGAGGCTCTCCTCGTCTGACCTCTACCATATCCTTCGTGGTTCACGTGTTGGACTACAATGACAACCCTCCAGCCTTTCCCAACACCGCCATCTGGCGAAGGATTGAGGAAGGTATTCTTCCCAACACACCGATTGTCACTGTCACAGCTGAAGATCCGGATTCTGGTGAAAACGGTAAAATCAAATACACCATCAAGAGTCAGGAGCCGCCCGGCATGCATTTCTCAATCGACGAAAACACTGGTAACGTGTCAACTCTGAAGGACATTGATCGCGAGTTTTCTGACACCTTCCGTCTGACTGTCGTGGCCACGGATCAAGCAGAACCTAAATCAGCTCGTCGATCTGCGGAGAAACTGGTGACTGTCATCGTGGAGGACATCAACGATAACGCTCCTCGCTTCGTCTCCATGAACGCTGGCATCTTGGACGAGAACTCTCACTCAGGGACGGAGATCATGCGAGTGTCAGCTCGAGACCTGGACGCAAACACCAACGGTCTGGTCACCTACGACCTGGTGGCCGGCGATAAGGACATCTTCCGCCTGGACCGTATCACGGGGTCACTGTCCGTGAAGCAGGAGGTCACCAGTCCCAAGATCATGTACTGCGTCACTGTCCGTGCTACTGACGAGGCTGTACAGTCGCAGCGGAAGTCTTCCGACGCCTACCTCACCATCCTGAGCGCCTCGTCTCAGGATGGACCCAAGTTCTCACAAAAATCGTACTCGGGATCAGTGTTAGAGAGTTCCAACATTGGCACGTCCGTCGCCACAGTGAGCGCCCGTCTCGGCTCCAACGCGCTGACGGATATAGCCTACTACGTGGTGAACGTGACGGGCGCAGACGGGGAGCTCATGAACCGTATGTTCACCATGCAGCAGCAGGGCGTAGTGGTGACGGCGGCCGTCCTCGACCGTGAGGACGGTCCCAACAACTACGTGGTGACCGTGGCAGCCGTGGTCACACAGGGACTCACTCCTAGACTCTCCACAACTCAGGTAAGTGTTGAGCCACACCTGTGTTAATCACCGTTGTTGTTGTGTACATTTACCAGGTAATAACCAGCCTGTGCCTCAGGTGGTGTCAAGTCGTAACTCAATATCCCGTCCTGTGATGTGTCACTATGTGATCCTCTTACTAAACAAACTTGTTCACCCAAACCTGTACTACAGTAGTGTGCCCTGCTGCTCTCAACACCTTGTAGTAACTTGGAAAATTTTCGTGAGAAAAAAAGAAAGTAATTTAGTGTTGATGACCTTGACAAAATTCTCACTAGCTCGTGTTTACTGGAAGACTGACTGGTGTAAGGAATGTGGTGTGTGAACCACCATAAAGTGTGTGTGTGTGTGTGTGTGTGTGTGTGTGTCAACCACGAGCTGAAATATAACACTTGTAACCTTAATAAACTCACCCTAATATTCTCGACCTTATAACGAAGTCGATTAAGTGTTTATAACGAAATAAATTCAATGTAATCCCTCCCTTAAAACGTAATTAATTGCTGTAAATGTAGCGCTTCCCTTCGGTGTAATTCCCTTAATGTATTGTAAATATAATAACAACTCTTAGATATTAAATAAATAATTACTTTCTCAATTACTCTTTAATACTAATTGTAATTATGTAGTTGAGTAATTACATGTTATTATGGTGATTGAGCTTAAGTGTAATTGAGGAATATTTATTAGTTGACCAATTTAATTACATTTATGGGCAATTAATTTTATGACTTAATTGGTAGTTACATTTAAGGGAATTGTTCTGTATAATTTAAGGGAGACAGTTGGGATATTTTAGGGATTAATTGGATTTTAGGGAGCTGGTAAATTTAAGGGAGATAATTAATTTTAGGGAGTCTTAAAATTTTTGGTAATTAATATATTTAAGAGATAATTAGTACATTTAAAGGATGAAATTAGTGTATCTAAGGGAGGAAATTAGTTATTTAAGGGAGGTAATTAGTGTATTTAAGGGAGATAATTTATGTATTTAAGGGAGATAATTAATGTTTTAATGGAGATAATTAATGTTTTAATGGAGGTAATTAGTGCATTTAAGGGAGATAATTATTATTTTTAAGGGAGATAATTAATGTAATTATGGGAGGTAATAAGTATATTTAAGGGATATAATTAGTGTATTTAATGGAGATAATTAATATTTTAAGGGAGATGTTACCTTTAGAGGAATTATTACACTCCAGATTAATTACATTTCAGTGGTTGTAATTACCCAGGTGTTTTATTTGTTTACCTGGGGAGGGGGTAGGGTAGGGGAGGTTAATGGCCTTGAGTATTTCCTCCCCTCACCTCTCCCTCACCTCTCCCCTCACCTCTCCCTCACCTCTCCCTCACCTCTCCCTCACTTGGTGCTCTAGTGAATGGTGATAAGGTACCCTGTATATACATGGTGATAATCTAGTGTAAAATCTTTGTACTCTGCAATCTGTTTTTTTTTCTTGTCTCGTAAAATTACTTGGTGAAATGTTCCCTTTATTGGTGACACGAATCCTTGGTGATAATGTAAGTGCTTGGTGACATGTACTTATTGGTTGGTGACACGAATCATTGGTGATAATGTAAGTGCTTGGTGACATGTACTTATTGGTTGGTGACACGAATCCTTGGTGATAATGTAAGTGCTTGGTGACATGTACTTATTGGTTGGTGACACGAATCATTGGTGAAGTTGGCAACACTTGTTAATGGACTCACTCGTAATTTGGTGATAGTTAATGTAAGTGTTTGACTGTGAGTGTTCCTGTTAATGGTGACATAGTTCTGAGTGGTGACAATTGGTTACTGGTGATTTTTAGATGGTGGGTATTTAGTTATTTATTTATTAGGATGTTTTGTTTAGTTTTGGTGATTTGTGAGTTTGTTTTATATACTTGTGATGGTGATTTGGTGTTGGTGATTGTGGTAGTGTTGGTGGTTTGTGGTAGTGTTGGTGATTTACTTGTGAGTGTTGGTGATTTACTTGAGTGTTGGTGATTTACTTGTGAGTGTTGGTGATTTACTTGTGAGTGTTGGTGATTTACTTGAGTGTTGGTGATTTACTTGTGAGTGTTGGTGATTTATGCCCTTTCTAACCTAACCTAACCCCTTGAGTACAATGTCAACCACACCTTGAGTACGATGCCAATAACTTGAGTACAATTAATTCACTGTCTATAATAAATTTACCCCTTGAGTACATTGACTTAACCCCTTTTGAGTACAATGATGAGAGCCCTTGACTCTTATGATTTAATTCCTTGAGTACGATGATCTGTTAAGCACGATGACACTGTACTCAGGGAGGGAAGGTTAATTCATCATCAAGGTTACTCAGGGGAGGTTAAGTCATCGTACTCAGGAATTAACTTCTCACCTCACTTCTACTCAGCAATTCTAACCTAACCTCACCCTCGCATCACCCTGCCTCGCTCACCTCACCTCTTACCTTCACCTCCACCTCGCCTCACCTCCACCTCACCTCGCCTCACCTCTCCTCGCCTCATATTATCCCACTGATTCAGGGGGAAGGGAAGGGGGGGAGGCGTCCAGTGATTGGCTATTCAGTGATGACGTATTAAGCAGTCACTCAACTTGATTGGTTCAGCTAATCACCCTCGGGATTCACCTGTCAGACGGCGTTAGTTGACACCCTCTCTGATTGGTCTGATGGCGGATTGGCCGATCGACAGGAGCCAATAGCGACACTTGATACTGTACCTTTGTTGACATAATTAGTGTGAGGAAGCTGTCGGGTTGGGAACTACCTGACATTGATAGTTATACGTGTGTGTGTGTGGTGTGTGTGTGTGTGTGTGTGTGTGTGTGTGTGTACAAGATTATCGTAAGTAATGGAGATAAATTCAATAAATATATATTTATTTAGTTATTTACACATTAAGATCTGTTCTATTAAAAGTAACATTCATACAGACACACATTATGTAACCTATAAATGAATGACCTAACCTAACATAACCCTGACCTAACATAACCTGACCTAACATAACCTAACCTGACCTAACATAACCTGACCTAACCTAACCCTAACCTGACCTAACATAACCTGACCTAACATAACCTAACCTGACCTGACCTGACCTAACATAACCTGACCTAATATAACCCAACCTGACCTAACATAACCTGACCTAACATAACCTGACCTGACCTGACCTGACCTAACCTAACCTAACCTAAATGGTCTTTCTGGATTCATATGACATAGTAATAAATGTCGATAATAAATACAGTTTGTACTATTTTGTAATCTCTACACCTGTACTTACCTGTATATGTATTCGTATCTGTAATTAAGTCTGCACCTGTACCTGTCTTTGTAACATTAGACTTATGCATATTGTATCAGCCTCTGTACTTGTTTCAACAACTGTCCTTGTATCTGTACCTGTCCTTGTATCTGTTCTTGTATCTGTACCTGTCCTTGTATCTGTACCTGTCCATGTATCTGTACCTGTACTTGTATCTGTACCTGTCCTTGTATCTGTACCTGTCCTTGCATATCTGTACTGTACCTGTCGTTGTATCTGTACCTGTCGTTGTATCTGTACCTGTCCTTGTATCTGTAGCTCTCGTTGTATCTATACCTGTCGTTGTATCTGTACCTGTCGTTGTATCTGTACCTGTCCTTGTATCTGTACCTGTCCTTGTATCTGTACCTGTCGTTGTATCTGTACCTGTCCTTGTATCTGTACCTGTCCTTGTATCTGTACCTGTCGTTGTATCTATACCTGTCCTTGTATCTGTACCTGTCGTTGTATCTGTACCTGTCCATGTATCTGTACCTGTCGTTGTATCTGTACCTGTCCTTGTATATGTACCTGTCCTTGTATCTGTACCTGTCCTTGTATCTGTACCTGTCCTTGTATCTGTACCTGTCGTTGTATCTATACCTGTCCTTGTATCTGTACCTGTCCTTGTATCTGTACCAGTCCTTGTATCTGTACCTGTCCTTGTATCTGTACCTGTCCTTGTATCTGTACCTGTCCGTGTATCTGTACCTGTCCTTGTATCTGTACCTGTCCTTGTATCTGTACCTGTCCTTGTATCTGTACCTGTCGTTGTATCTGTACCTGTCGTTGTATCTGTACCTGTCGTTGTATCTATACCTGTCGTTGTATCTATACCTGTCCTTGTATCTGTACCAGTCCTTGTATCTGTACCTGTCGTTGTATCTATACCTGTCGTTGTATCTGTACCTGTCGTTGTATCTGTACCTGTCCTTGTATCTGTACCAGTCCTTGTATCTGTACCAGTCCTTGTATCTGTACCTGTCCTTATCCTGTCCAGCATCTGTACCTGTCCTTCTGCTTGCAGTCCTTGTGCATCTGTACCTGTCCTTGTATCTGTACCTGTCCTTGTATCATACCTCCTTTGTCTATACCTGTCCTTGCATCTGCCTGTCGTTGTATCTGTACCTGTCCTTGTATCTGTACCTGTCGTATCTGTACCTGTCCTTGTATCTGTACCTGTCTGTATCTGCACCTGTCCTTGTATCTGTACCTGTCCTTGTATCTGTACCTGTCCTTGTATCTGTACCTGTCTTGTATCTGTACCTGTCCTTGTATCTGTACCTGTCCTTGTATCTGTACCTGTCCTTGTATCTGTACCTGTCCTTGTATCTGTACCTGTCCTTGTATCTGTACCTGTCTTGTATCTGTACCTGTCTTGTATCTGTACCTGTCCTTGTATCTGTACCTGTCCTTGTATCTGTACCTGTCCTTGTATCTGTACCTGTCCTTGTATCTGTACCTGTCCTTGTATCTGTACCTGTCCTTGTATCTGTACCTGTCCTTGTATCTGTACCTGTCCTTGTATCTGTACCTGTCCTTGTATCTGTACCTGTCCTTGTATCTGTACCTGTCCTTGTATCTGTACCTGTCCTTGTCTGTACCTGTCCTTGTATCTGTACCTGTCCTTGTATCTGTACCTGTCCTTGTATCTGTACCTGTCCGTATCTGTACCTGTCCTTGTATCTGTACCTGTCCTTGTATCTGTACCTGTCCTTG